CCCTTACGTTACATATGCCATGCTGAATACATCAGTACAAATCCATCCTGAGGAGCCAGAATCGCAAAAATAGCAAGATAACGGTACCATAGTAAGTTGCAGTTTACCACAATGTGGAAACATGGTAATAATGGTGGCAATCGTATAGAACCCCAGAAATACCATGCAATGACTATCTTTAAGGTGCTATCCGTATTTATGAAATGTATTATTGCAGAGGTGCTCATCTCAGACCTTCAGAGTAAAAATATCATAGTGTCAAGTTAGAAAGACCCGTTTCAATCAGTCATGCTAGCCTGCTGTTAAACGTAGGCAGGTTGAACGAAATCTGTCGATGCCAGAGAAGGCGTTGACGTCATCCACTTCAGCTATGCAAAATCGTTTGACTTCGTGAACCCTTAACCTCTTCTCTATAAGCTTTGAAGTTATAAATAGGCGATCCTATTCTGGATTGGATGATCGACCCCATTGTCCAGTCAAAAAATATGATAGCCGCAGTCCTTTTCCGATGCCACAATATTCCAATGTGGTGCTCCCAAGGAATTTGTATTGGGCCAACGTTTTTACCTAGTCATTATAAACGGTCTCGTTTGTGTACTAAAGTCAACTTTCTAATATGTGCAGAACATTCGATCTGATTTGATAGAGTATTGGGAGAGTAGACGACCATACGGCGCTGCAAAGCATTCGCGGCGTTGACGCTGCGTGGTCATTTTAGAACTCGCTCTAGTTTAATATGGTAAAATGCAGAGTTTTGTATATCTATCATCAAAGTACCCATGAATTGCCAATTGGAGCATTGCAGTTGAAACGTGTTTCAGTGCAAATCGAACACACAGTGACTAGTTGGGATGACGTCGACTATGGAAACAGGCTGGAGAGCACCGAGATAAACAAGTCAGCATCTTGGCCACTCATAAAAGGGCATTGAAGAAGTTCAGACATTCTGTCTTTCCTCCTTACGATAGTCAAGAAATAAGAAAGAAAGATTTGGAACAGTGGTGGTTCAATCGAAAACATTATGGATATTGTTGTCGCGCGATCGTTCAAAAGGCTAACTCTCTCACCAAATTTTAGAGAATGCGGTCCAGGAATTTTAGAACTCCTGGTTCAGTTAAAGCACACGGCGACGGAAGTGTTAGAATCACGGTGAAGTAGAAATGTCTTCTGTTTCCACTATCGTTAGAGGTTGCTGAAACCTTGAAAAGAGCAGACATGTGCCTAACTGAAAAAGTAAACCTACCAGCTTGACTCTGCTGCTCGTTCACCCGACTCCGCAGTAGGTTCGCATGAGGAACGCAACGAACCTCGATCAGATCAAGCTGCAGTCAACGTTTCATTCGCCCGACAAAAACCTAATAACGGCCGACCTCATACTGATCGGTATTCTTCTACCCCTGAGTCGCTTATCCCCTTGTGGGTTCCCAGAGACCGAGAAACTATCCTGCTTGTGGGTAAAAAAAACCAGTAACGTTAAAATAATGCACATACAGCCCATGTACATCGATTGACGATATGGTGTGACGAAGGTTGAACAACATGCAGCTACCTACACGCATGAGGTTGACTCCTTTCTGCATGCAGCTATGTGAACACTGCAGTCAGTCAAAGAAAATGATTTTCATTTCATCTCTTTGCTTACTTTTTACTATGTTTTGATTCGCATTCTGGTCATCCAACGGGACTTATTAAGCACGCGTATTTTTAACCGTATTTTGCCACTGGTCCATTGTTCCAAGTGATTTAAATTATATAAAGGTGTTTTTATTATCTACAAGACAGTTGGTCCAAATGCCATCATCAATGTTGAGCGACTTGTATAAGTCATACGACTATATATTTTAGCTCTTCAGCTTGTCAACAGTCCAAACTTTGAAGATCAACGAAAAAGGGATCTAACAATAGTGCCCTGGCTGTCGTGCGCCATAACGTCCCGAATTTACCGCCATTAGATTGCGAGGTAAGTTGTCGGACGATCAAGACTAACGGTACTCATCGTGTTTTCTGATGAGCGACAAAGCCAAACCCATAAAACTAATAGGGTTTACTCCTCACCCGAACTCTGCACACGATGGAGAACCCAGACTTATTGGAGTAACAGTAGAATCCTTCAATGATATCGAAAACCTTTTACTCTCTGCAAGTACGCTAAAACACGGATTCTGTAGGATGCACATTTATCCTGATGTTTCTTGAAGCGTGCTACTATCAAAAAGGAAATCCTAAGGATGATACAAAAGCATGATGGTCTAAACACACTCCTAATCATGGCGCGTCAGGGCTTCCTTCTAACAATATTCTCGAGGCCGGTAAACGCAATTGAGCACAGTAACGGTTTACTTGTGTAACACTTTCTTTGGATAAGGTGGCGCGATCGCTTAAAAGGTTACCCGTCTCACCAAATTATAGAAGATGATTCTCAAAAATCTTAAAACTAGTGGTTAAGACGCGGACTACAACAACGAATGTTTTAGATTATTGACGGAAAAAGTGGGATAACTTTTTATTTGAACTTAAGGGGAAGGCTGCATTAGCTTTGCAAAGTCCAGATATGAAATCAACTAAAACGGCAAACTTATCGGCGACGAAACAAATGATTCACTTGACTACCCCTTAACTCGACTCTGTGTCTAAACGAGGATCACAACGCGCCTTGGCCGAATCAAGTTACGGACGAGTTATCATCATCATAACAAAAAGATCACCGGCCCACCACACACTGGTCGACATTTTCCTGTACCTGACCGCTTAAAATTCTGTTGGATCCAAAAGACCGAGAAACCATCCTGCTTGTAACAAATACTCAAGGCCTTTTCAATAAGCCAGCCAAACTGAAACACCGCTAATTTTCTGATCAATATGGTACCATCGGCTTCACTGAGACGTGGTTACACAATGGAATGATGGACGCTGAAGTCTCCCTGTCGGGCATGTCATTTATTCGCAAAGCGAGCCTAGGAGGAAGGAGGGGTAATTCACCATTACTGAAGCGATCCAAATTGCGATGACATGAGGGATTCAGACCCTACAGTTCCCCGATTCTCTCTGGTGCCACTTGCAGTTCTAAGGCGGAGATACTTGCTTTAATGCCGTTGTGTACCGCCGTCTAACTCCACACACGAAAGTGACTGCCGCCTAACGACCGCTATAAGACGCACCCTAAAGGGAAAATACACTCACCTTCTTATCATGGTTGACTTCAACGTACATTGTTCACAAAAACTGCCAAGATCGGATAATAACTCAAAATCGATCTTCTGGAACTCGAAAACAATGCTCTGCTCTACAATCATGTCACTTTGCCTACTCGGTTTCGAACAGGTAACCGCCTATCTGGGCCTGACTTGTGCTTACCAACCCCACAAGGAGACTTGTCAAGCGGTGATCCTAAACACCCACAAATTCGTTGATCATTGTTCTGTCTAAATGCTTATTCTACTTCATACATCCTTCTGATGCACTATCGGGGATGTACCAAATTTGTAAACGGCTACTCTTTTGGACTTTACTTTGACTTACTTAACCACTTGTGTTTTGTTTGCCATTACTTTTAAAGAGTGCGTTTATATTACCACCACCCTACTAATTCAATGTGCTCTTGTCACGCGGATTACGCTGCTCATGTTGTGACCCGGTCTTCAATCCTCCAGGTGAATCTAGGCATAAGGCGCTGTCACTGATACCATTACTAAATGCCCAGCCAATGATTGGTGGTTGGAAATCAATACAAATATAATGCAGGTACAATAACAGTTGTCCTATCCGCGTCATGCGAGGTGACACGAGATCACAGTTACGAACATCGATACACAGGTGATTGTGTTTTTGTTCAGTGGTGGCATCCTTAAGCTCACGCTTTAATTTGCTCATGAAAGTAAAAGAAATGTGGTTGAATCACTGGTATGCAGTATAAAAATTACCATGTAAATTTTCAGTTAATCAACACAACAAGCTATATCCCTGGTTTACCACTATTTTACCCATACACGTTTGCATCACCATCTGCTATAGGCTTGTGGACACATTTTAGGAAAATTATACTAACAGTTAAGTTAGCTTGACTCGTGTTGAATTCCGGTGCAGTTAACACATCCTCAGTAGTGATCACCTCTAACTGTCTCAGTTAAAGCTATGGTGCACACTGACAGCTACGCTTTTCTGGCCATCAAAGCCGATTACGCGCAGAGCTGTAGACTCAGTAATTTACAAAAATGTGGACCAGTCCAAAAATAATTGGATCAACTTCGTAGTTCGAATAGTCCAAAAATACATCTAAAATACACATAAAACTGAGATACATTAAAGGTGATCCGAATAGGAATATCATATTATGCTTTAATTATCAACCTGTTTTCATATCTTAGTGAAATAACCTGCATGCCTTAAGTGCGTTGAAAATGGACATTCAGCTTCAACCCTAACCTACAAGATACATTACATCTAATTTCTAGAAAAAAGTTATCGCAAGGGAAAGGAATAAATGTTATTTACTTCGAAGTCCATTACTCGCGAACTAGGTGTACTCGAGCTAGAGGCGTTTGGATGTATTTGGTAACGTCATACATCCCCAGAGTATAAAATGCGCCGTAAAAAGGCTATCCGTGGTCTTGACTCTGTTAATCATGCATCGTACAAGCTAAACCTGATGTGCATTATGATCAAAGTTTGAGGGAAAATCAATCAAGCAACATGTGGCCTTTACTGTTCATTTATTGAAGAATAATGTAAGGCAGGTATCGTATTTTCACTTTGGGTTTTCTGTCCCAGACCTTGCTTTAGAATGAAAAAATGCGATTATGGTTGAAAGAGAGGACAGAGCGGAAGTCAATCACTCTAACTTAATCTCCTTGACAGAGCCAAACCGTTCTATGCTTCAGAGCACTCGCTCTTGGATACTTTAGCAAAATACAAGTAGGCTCGCAAGATTAACCAACATTTGTTTGTAAAACAAATCTGGTTAGACAGTGCATATACAGTTTGCAGTCAACAAATGCGCTTACCGATTACGTATGAGGCAGCGCCGCCATTTAAACGGATGTTTCGCACAGGAACCCCAGAATTCTTCAAATTCTCTTGAACAGCATGAAACAGTGCACTTGGGCGGACCCAGACGGTTGGAAATCCAGGAAATCGGCTATGAATAGGTATCGATTCATTCAATAGGCTATATAACCGTGTAACTTGCTTAAATGATAGCACATGGAATCGATTGTCATTTTGCTGCTCTCTAGTTTGTGATTTGCACCGTCTGTTAGAGTGATGCACATCTCGAGTTGCTGCTTCACAGCACCCTGATGGTGAATGTTGCACTGCCTGTGCCACAGTACAAACATTATAAGGAGGCAGATCCCGATAGGTTTGGACATCTGGCGACCGGTCCAGCTGAACTTGTCGTACGCTGTTGCTTAGTGAGTTGAAGTCTTCCAAAAAATTGCTATCCTCAGAATCGCTGTCTGCTGGTAGAGGGGAAGATGGTGTTAGATTCAGTGTTCGATCTAACCCCGAGTCTTCAGAGTTGCAGACGCTGGATGATATCGATTTACTGAACTGTTTGGAATGTACATTTGTTGATAATCGTCTCGTGACTTCGGGGGAGAATGTATGAGGCGATATATTGTTCTGGGTCATCTGTAGTTGAATAAATAAATCACTGGGTCTCCGTCCACGCGGCATTAGTGACGTATTCCACTTCCTTCCACTGACCCGGCAGAAGGAAGCATAATAGTAAGCTCACAGCACCTACTACGGTGGCTGCTTCACATACGGAAGTCAAATGTCTGATTAAATAACAAGAGCATGGCGAATTGAAACTAAGGATCCACTCTTCTCGCTTTGTTGGACTTATCACAGTAGCGGAGATGTTCTTGGACTTTGTGTCTGTCTGTCTTGCTTGTCAATAGTTTGAAGCCGTGCCTAAACCGACTGGTTCATACATAGCCAATAATTACACCGTGTTTACGTGCCACATACGGAGTAAAGTATACGGCCCAAGAAACCAGTTACGTACCGGAACCGGTCTACAGCTCTCCACTCATAGGCTGCGCAGATTAGAACAACTACGTGTCTAGGTATGTGTAAACACACATGGGTACGCACGTATAGAATGACAAACAACCGTGGCACATGTGTGGGTCATGTAATCAATAGTCCAGTTGGTTAGGCTGTCTGAGCGGACAGCGGAAGTGCTGCTCTGAGGCCGATTGCGCAGACGCTCAACGCATACAGGCCAATGAGAGGGCAGATTACCACACATCAAAATATCGTTCACGGACCCATAATCCACCGACCGATCGATCAACCGACAGACAGCAGAGCCTGTGGAACACACCAGTATTTGCTCCCTACCTGCGCTCTCATTGGATAGACATACGGAACATGTGGATGTGTGAGAAAGGAACCAGCTGCGAACCTAGTCGATGCTCACATTCTCAATTCCTCACCTGTTCTTTGTATCTCTATCCCGCCATACCACATTAAGCGCGAGAAAAATAACTGATGCTGGCCGTGTGGAATACCTCATGTTTGTTTGCTAATTATAGAACACTCGGCCTTCACTCCCGACAGCTAATTTGTCACCGCAAAGAGCAACCGGTCTTATGAGTGTTGTAATCGTGTCTCCGAAGTCAGCACCGATTCCCCAACATATCCCACGCATTTTTGATTACAACTTCTGACAGCAAAGTTGAATGAACAGAATTCTTGGAAACACAATGCTATGCTATAGTGAAGCCCTAAATTATCAATGATGTTTAAACAAATCTCCAGCCCGATTCGACTCTAACAACGTATGGTTGCTGCTATGCAAACGTTTGCGTCCGGTAAAATGTTACTGGAAAATAACTGCTTTCTGATTTTACTAAATGAGCGTGGTCACTACAACGAGCCCGATCACAAAGCCCTTAAGTTTTGAGCATGTTTGATGCCTCTTTTAACTTTAACTGTATCACTCAATAGACGAAATGTAGGACAGTATATGAGCTTAGATCTTTTGATTCACTAGAATGACCTAAGCTTAATAACAAACCAGATCAACCAAATTGAAGGAAAATTAAAAATAGTCTTAAATTTCTGTTTTTATTTGGTCACACTTGTTGCAAAAGAAAATGTTATGTGAATGGGAAGTTCATTTTCTCAGCTACTCGGTTGTCATTTCAATACCAGAATTAAACTGTCGTAGTACGTAAGTCGCATATTGCGGATATTCCACTTTCCACCTAGTGTAGTACATATAACCTGGGTTTATGTTAGAACTGACCAGTAGGTGCACCATTATAAATTCAAGTTACTGCCCAGCCCTTTGCCTACTCAATGTTTTACCATGTGGGTTGTCCGGTACAGTTGAAGTGTACTCTTTTATTAACGCCAGCCATTGCAGCGCATCCGCGGCGGTGAAGGTTTTTCTTGGTCTTTGTGGTGACGTGATTTGTGTGTGATCAGTAATAGTTGACGCGGCGTTGTGGAGAAAGCAAGCAAACGGATGCCTAAGAGCGTTAGCCGCTCTTTGCGCTGCTGGGCCTTCCCACAGACGATATGTAAAGAAGGTATGCCTCTTTTCATTTGGCAAAATGTAATAGCATACCTTTAAACTGGCCTCAGATGAAGCAGAGCTTCTCCACTTTATCCTGTTGGTGCCTCAATTTGTCCTCAAAGACCAGTGTTACGCAACGGTCCTGCTCATGAGTAAATAAATAAAAGAAATGACGTACAACAATAATGCAAATCGATTTGCAACTTGATAACGCATAAATATTGTTTGGTGTTCAATTGAGTTACACGATGTGTCACAGGATTTCTATATAAGGATTGGAAGTCTCATAAAAATATTAGTGGTGACAAACGTTATTCTAATTATTCATGGCATATTTGATTTCTCTAACTTGTTGGAATGTACATACCTAGAGACATACTACCCCTCGCCGTAATTCACTCCCATAGCATAAAATCAGGCACAGTAATGGACAGAACGAACAATGTCACGAGGACAAGGCCACATCCCATCCCGTCTCACATGTGTGCAGCCTTTCTAAACACCCCACAGTAAGACCCCATTTTAATACAGGGTGGAATAGAGCCACAGCCATTCCCAACCTCGCACACCCGGCAAAAGCCAACTACCTGTTCCCACTGTTCCTTCAATATTCGCAGATGACTCGGCTAACCAATTGCCACGCCAACCGAAAATAAGACTTGCTCCGTTAACCCCTACCCGGTCCACAGCAATATCGGCACTCACAAATGACATATTACCAATACTACCACACCTGCTAAGAATAGACGTTACCGCACTACTCCAACTCATATCTCCTGGATCCTGATTACTTGACTAGACAATAACGCGTATAACAACAAACAGCAACAAGATGAATCCAAAACCAATAATCCGTTTTCTATACTTATACTTAATGCCAGATCTATTAACAACCAATTATACTTCCTAGGCACGCTTGCACATATCAACGACACACAAGCAATCCTTGTTACTGAAACGTGGTACTCCTCGATACATTAGACTCCACCTTAATGAATCCTAATTGTCAGCTTATCGGAACAAATCGCGACACTGACAAATGAAGTGGAGGCATGATATACATCCACGGTATATTTACAGCAGACCTTGTTGATCATCCAAAGATATCAATTGTCCCCGAATCTACAAAATTGTCTGTCTCAGGAAGAATTCCTCACATTTTGCTCGGTTGTGCTTACAACCAGCAAAACGGGTCAACTGCGAGTGTTACTACAAACACTTCAGCTTTCGAATTTGCTGTTGAAATGACGCACAGACCGAATATAATCGCTGGTTAATTCAACCTACCAAAGATTAGCTGTCCATCCCAACCATCCTCGACTACACACAGATTTGCTTTCCTCTCTCAGTATTGGTGGGTGTATGCAACGGGTTACTGAACTAAAAACAGCGAATAGTATACTCTACCTCATATTAAATTTGGGGGTCGCAAGTACATAAGCAGAGGTAGTAGACAAACTCGCTGGTAGTGACCACAAGGTGGCACAATTCAGTTTCTGCGTCAAATTGGTCAACAAACACGCTTTCATTCCGACACGTTATACATTCCTTTCTAAACGTCGAAACAGCGATCGGTATATTGCAACCTACCTTGACAAGTGAATCCCCATACGAAATAGGAGCAAGATGGATATAGTATCAACATCAGGGGATCTTTTCATTCTCCTGTTGCCCGATCTTACTGCCCTCCCCAAATTTGTCAGTAGCAATAACATGTTTTCCAAAGGCAAAAATATCCTGATTAACAATGAATTTCACACTCACCAAGACCGAAATGTGCCCTAGAGTTGCTCTCGAGCAAATTATTTCGCATTTGTTCTGCAACGCTAATTATTTTCTACTTATCGTTTCCCCTGGACCCCTCCCTTAAGTACGAGCTGCTGTGTTACGTGCTCAGCGAAATCTATGTTGATTTAATCCTTCTGCTTTTGGACTGGATCCATTTGATAACACCTTCCGAAAACCTACCATGATCTTCCACGCTTACGTTCACTCTGAACAAATCCACTCATCGAAATCAGCTTCTCCTCTTACCGCACACAGCTGAACAGTTGGAACGTCAGTTAACTTACTTTACTTTGCGTACAGTTTTCTCTCCCTCCCTGAAAAATACCATGCGTACATGCAGCATTTCTCAGTACCATACAAAATTATTTCGCATCACCAATTTTCCCATTTTGATCTCCGACAACTACCGGAGCTATCTTACTATTTCCTCCGAAAATTCTTCTCCTTTTCTGTAAAAAGCATGTATATTCCTGAGGTTATCAGTTACCAGTGAAACTTGTACAATCTGCATCGAACAACGTCGGACGAAAATCTAGCATTTCACGTTACAGTGCGTCCACCCACCTTTATTTGCTTATTTCTCTCCTTCCAGTGTTGGCCAGGATTGGGCCGATCTCCCGAGGCGATGGATAAATGCTTCCGAAAAAATGCAGCACACTCATGCAGTAGGAGTTATCACAAACTCACTGGCACATATTACAAGTGTTTGATTCGAATCAGCCAAATGATGGCTGTGCAATGGGGAGAGCTTAATATGAAACACAGGCCCCCACAGTACAGTGCTGGAAACAAATCAGATAAAAGTTAGCTGTATGATGGGGAGAGTTTTCATTGAACACAGGCCCCCACGACATAGTACTGGAAACAAATCAGATAAAAGATGGCTATACGATGGGGAGAGCTTAATATATATCACAGGCCCCCACATAACTGTATACATAGAACGCCACAATAGCACATGGCCAGATGAGATGTGGAAGAGAAGTGTGGAAGCAGGTCTCCGGGAGACGGTTTCATGATGGGTCGTATTACTCCAATCAAACTGACAGTTTATATCTACTTTTATTCTTACTCTCAACTTCTAATACCCTTACTCCTTCACTATTTTTAATTGATTTGGCACTGAATCATTCCTATGTGAACACACTCGATCACTGAGTATCCCTCTCCACTACCCGACTTTGTTATACCACATGATCAAGCTTGTAGTCTGCCTGTGTCTCGCATGTCGAGAAATATATCATTTTTATATTTATTCACTTATTATGTATCCCAACTGGATAAACGTAAAGCGATTACAACATTTTATCAGGTCAGCCTATTCGGACCCATTATTTCTCTCTAACAATGTGCGCAATGCCGTAGACTATTTCTACCATCGGGTCCATCAGGCCTTCGCTGTCCTTAAACCCCAAGGCAAAGGGACTACACGTGTCCAAAAAGACGGAATGGTGCGTTCAGTCAGCCGGAGAGACAGAAGACTGAATGCTGGATACAGAAAGACGGAAATTTCACCTTGCGCTTACAGTCGCACAAAATCACACAGTTGACGAAGAGGATACACATAAAAGATATAGCTCTAGGAATGACATGTAAACCTAATAAAGTTGTTATAAGTCTGTGACGCAGAATCAATTACCACTCTTCCTTGATCGGTGGACTTGTTAATACAGACGCACAGTCACATCATAACCCAGCTGACATCATTGAAGGGTTTCGCTTATTTTTCGCTAACACCATGAGCCTGGAAACGGCCCTTTTGAATGCAAGCAGCACGGTGCACGCAAGCAACCCCCTGTGTAAAACTGAATTTTCTGTCAAAACTGTCCAACATATACTGAATTCATGCAAACAGACTTCCTAGCTGG